TTTTCCATCTGAAAAAACTACATGTGAAAGGAATTTGTGGATAACAAACCCTTTCACAATATATGACAGTAGTACCTTAGATTTAAGTAACAGAGAATATGAATCCATCCTTGAGATTAGTTCAGATATGTTAAAAACTAGGTTTTCAACAATGTCTATAGATAAATTTTGGACCAAAACAAAAATGAATATTCATCTGTATACGAGAAAGTGATGAAAATGTTAGTTCCCTTCGCAACAATATATTTATGTGAAGTGGGATTTTCAACTATGAGAGTAATAAAAAATAAATTTAGAAATTGACTTTCAATTATTTCACTGCTCCGACTCAGCTTGACTAATTTAGAACCCACAATTGAAAAACTAATTGAAGAGCAGCAGCAATCTTCTCATTAGCAATGTATACCAAATAAACAAAAATTTTAAATTTATAACTTTTAGTAATCATAGGATTGACTTTTTGTTGCATACAAATGTATTGCATATAGATGCAATACATTTGTGATTTTTTAAATAATTTTTTACAATTTTTTGTTGTAATTTTTGTCAAGGGTTTGTTATTTATTAATAATTACAATTAAAACCAACAATAAAAATTATACTTTTAGTAAATACTATTAATTTAACTTTTTAGTGATCATATGACTGATTTTTTTTATTGTGTCATACAGTATATGCAATGTTTTTGTGATTTTATTATGCTTTTCTATGATTTTTGTCAAAGATATAAAATAATTATAATAATTACTTATATTTACATTTAAATATTATTGTAAGTAAATGATAATAATAATTTTACAAATTACTTCTGTAGTAATTCTTTAATATCTAGTAAAAGTTTTTTGTTAAAAACACCACAAAATTTTTTTCACAAATTTTTCCAGTCCACAGGTCAAAAAGATTGAGAAACACTGCAAGAAAACAATTAAACTGGATTATTTATCCAGAGGAACAATTAAAATTATAATCATTACCTGAAAATAATTTTCAATACATTTTTAAATAATACAAATATTTTTTTGTTTAATACTATAATCCTTTCTTATAAGAAATGACCTCAAATTTAGATGATAAACACTTTTATATCACTATTCTGTTTTCAATAACATTTTTGAAAGATAAAAGTCCATGTAAGAACAACCAAGGATGAAATAACAGAAAAAAAAAGGACATTAAACATAAACATGATGAAATGTTGTAACTGCATCTGATGTAAGAGCAGCTAAATAATTATTTAGATTTATATAATTATCTATTATCTATTATTATCTAATTGTATCAGCTTAGTATCAAAATTTTTGATGTGTAATTCTATCATTACTTCTTCTATTTCTAAACAATTTACTAATTAATAATTATTCGATTTCACTTTATAAAAATATAATTTAAAAAACACATCTGAGATGTAAAAAAATTACACCAAGTAAAAACTAATGAAAATTTAGACAATAGTCAAAATTTTTCTTACATATTTTTCATTGGTAAAGATAAGCTTGGTGCTTGGAAGCAAAATGTATAAAGCAATAATACACGTAAAAATCTTGTGGGTACTGTTTCCAAGCGCCAAACTTATTATTTTTATCAAAGAAAAACTGTTAAAATTTGACTGTCGTCTAAATTGTCATAAATTTTTACTTGGCGCAATTTGTTTACATCTCAGATGTTTATGTTTGGATATTAATTGTTTTTTGTTTAATAATTGTATTATTACATCAAGACATAAAATTCAGTCGGTCCCTGGCGACCGCTGACCAACGCTCTGCGAACAGAATACGTAACAACTCTGAATAATAACGTGCCGCCGACCGATACTTTCGATATGCTATTTAGAAAAATCGATATAAAAAGTTTTAATTTGCATAAATTTGAGCTTTCGTTATTCTGAGTAATATTCTCAATAAAATTCTTTCATTTTGATGTAGTTTTATCCTTATAGGCATAAAATTAAGCAAAACAAAACTGAAATAGCTCTACGGGGAAACTCCCGTGATCTTTGACCTATCGACCCGGAAGTTTCGTGAGCACCTCAATGATAACGAGAAAGGATTAAGTTTAAAATTTGAGCTTTCTAGATACAGTTGTTTATTCTCTACAAACGTCTGCAATGCCGGATGAAGAAAAAAAAAAGTTTTGACGAGTTTTGCACTTTTCAATTGCTTATATTTTAAATTGATCGTTTCTGTTACCAGTTTCTATGGATTTTTTTAAGCCTAGAATTTTTGGCTTTTTTCAGTAACTTACATCACTTTTTTGAAGAAAAATTTTTAAACCCAATTTTTTAAAATTTTGTTAATTAGTTTTTATTCCAAAATCCTTGGCAACTGCTTAATAGAAAATCTTGAAATTTTGCTCACTATCCAAGAAAACAATTACCTTTCGAACGAGATATTCAGAATTTCTTTAGACATTTGGCGTCAGAGGAACTGACCCTCGAAAATCAGCAACTCTCCTGTATATATAGTCAGTCAGTGACTTTTTTTACTTGGGAGGAAGTCACTGCCATGAATGACTTTTGATCAAATATTATTTATTAATTAAACAACTTTGCAGAAATAGTTGTAAAATTACAAAAGAAGTTTTGTGTATATAGAAATATATAATAATTTAAATATATTTGTTTTTAAATTATAAATGTGATTAATATGAATTATTAGGGAAGTAAGTTCATAAATTCAATTACATAGGTTAAATTATCAAGTAACAAACCATCTGTGTAATGAAACCAGTTCCTTGATCTTGTACTAAGTTACTAAACAGAAATCATAAATCAAAATGCTAGAATTATTAGGATTAAAAATTTTTTTAATAGTTCATTAAATTCATGCATAGGTAATCATGAAATAAGAACATTTTTCATACACTGAAGCAAAACACAGACATTTTTTTTCTGAAATAAATATTCTTAAAATTTGAAACTACAGTTTTTCACAAGTTCCATGTATTATAATCATATTTTAAGTTTTGAATGTTATCAACAATCATTCAACATTATCTGATATATAGTAATAATATATATAAAATAATTACAAAATTGTAATCAAAAACTAGCTGTAAGTTTTTTTTTATTTACTATAAGCGTTTATTAAAACGATATTTGGTATCTATTGTAATATGTTTGCACTTTTGTGCAGATTTATTTAAATTGTCAAATAAGACTGAATATATTATATTCGTTATAAGTATCAATAACAGAATTTGTGTCCAGATCTGCTTTCAAACTGGCTATTATTAGAAAATATCTGTCATGATGAGATTTTCGTTTATTTCCCCACTTCTTACGAACATCGTGATTTCAAAAAAAATCAGGTTTTAGTTTTCATCACAATATCACTTAGAATCAATTTATTAAAACTCATGCCTATATTTCACTTTTTAATTCTGAAAATTATTTTACAATTCTACTCAATTTGGATGAAGTTTATCGAAACCGCACCGGAAACGACACTAGAATTTGATCCAGTATCATATATGTTTAAATCAGTATGGACGATATCGCTGCCGACAGAACTGAAATTAAAGTTTCCATCGAACAAAGTACAAAAAAAGTAATAATAATATAAATCTTAAACTGGTTTATTTAAATTCTATTACTTGAGACTTTTACATTTCACGCCTCCGCAAAAGCAACTTCTAAAAAGAAAAAGGTGGGAAAAAACACGAAAATGTTAAAGCGTATCGGAACTTTTTTCATAGCTTCACTTTTTCAAAATTACCAAAGTTTTGAACCTCTCTCGGAATTATTTATATCATTCGTCAATAGTTTAGCAAATATCTATCACGCATCACTTAATACGAATAAGAAAATTATATTTTTGGGTCAATAATAAGCATAAAGATTAAATGACAACTTTCCACAGATTACAATACAGCTTAATATCAATAATCTTAAGGTTGAAGGTTGCAAAATAATCTTTAAACTTTAATAAATTAATTTTCAGTCAGACCTTAACAAACAAAATAACCCTATTATTTTCCACTAGTTTAAATTACAATTTATAACAAAACGTAAAGAGGTAATATTCTAATATACCTTTGTACACCAGACGAAACTCTGCGTAATAAAATTATCTCCAAATATTTTTAAGTTATTATGTAACTCACTTTGTTATTAAATATTTCACGGGTGGCACATGATTTACCGAAGTCAGACAGGATATGATACATTAGTAAATTACAAACATTAAAATGAGAAAAAAAAACGATGGACAGGTTATGGGAAGAACACAGAACAGTAGATGTACTTCGGTGCTACTGACCTTTCTATCTAGGAACACAGCCCATAATTACATATTATCTAAATCTTCTAATTAACCTTGTTTGTCAGCTAAGTGAAACAATAGATTGTCCTGTCACAGAATGCTAACAGAGCAATAATATTATATACAATATACATACCGTATATATTTTAACAATTCTAATTGAACTCTATACACTTGCACTTCTATTTCATAGAACATATATCAGATAAAATATATTACTTTATTTCCACGTTCAAACTATTTACAATATATATAATACGCATACATTTCTTGTCCAAATATGTTACGTATTAAAAAATTATTATATACAAGAGATTTATATTTTAACTGTTTATATTAAATTATGCAACTAGATATTTTGTTTTGGATTCATTAATTAATGCTATCATCTAAACTTCCTTAAGTTAACGTATTTCGAAAAGTACACATTCGAAAAGTAGGTGAAACATCATAATTAGAATTATGATTAATTCTGATATTACCCTAGGGGTTCTTTGCTAAGAAAACAAACTAATAATAAATCTTACATTGCGTAATCCAAAACTAACGAGTTTTAATGGTCATATAAATTGATATCCTGGATGAAAGCCAAACATTAACTCACCTACAGAAGGCATTATTGTAGAAACGTCTATCCGAATAGTCCTAGACTTTTACTTAACAACACACCGGACACTTAAGGTAATTTTACATGACGTAAAATAAAATTGCTCAATGTTACAGATTAAATTATTTACTGACCCATATCCATGGCTGTATAGGGGGAACAGCTTCGCGTGCGCAGTTTTCGATCCGACTTATTTTCATTAGCAGGAACCACCTGTTCGACTTCAGACGGCATAACGGCTTCACCTCTCCAAGTAGTATATAACTCGCGGACCAACTTTTCAAACCTGGTAATGTCATGCTCTATCGTGCGTAGTGTTCGCTATCGACACCGCCTCTTCTGACGTCATCGATACAGGCTATGGGTTGGGTTACGTATTGAAATATCTCGTAAAACATTACAGAGTATGTATTACTGACTACGTAGAAGTGTAAAGTTAATGTAATGCAATGATTACAAAATTTATTCTATGATGTCATAGAAATTAAACGAGAGGCAGAATTGATACTAGAATTTTCGCGTGATTTATAAAGAGTTTATTAATGTCTTGATATGATAAACTAAGTTTTTCTGTACATTAAAAACTTTATAGCAGTAGTAATTTTTGACAGTTTGCAAAAAAATATAAATATAACAAAAAATAATGTGGATCTATCGACACATCTGTTCTCTTTTTTCTTCTCGTGTGAACGACGAAATACATCAGAGACGGAACAGGACGGATCTGTGGGTAACTTCTATTGTATAATATGTCAGGGTTACAAAGAAAGAGCAGCTGGCCTATTTCCTTTATACACAAGACCTCGTCCTATTTGCGACGGATAATATTTTACGATAAAAACACAATTCTAGATTGAACTGAGGTCAAAACCTATTTCCTTAAAAACCGCAATCTTTTAAAAATTTAAAGATCGATTTGTACTAAAATCGAGACGCTTCTTTATAGAAAACTTTCGTTTTAGTAAGAAATCTGGGTCGCTGCTTTCGCTTTTAAAACTCCAGAATCGCATACAGATTAAGAAAACAGTTAATGTTTCTTATTATAACCTGTTCTTCAAGGTCTTAACTACGTATCGGATGGGTGATTCTAGAGGCTTTTAATTCCATTTTTTAAATATTTAAATCAGTGCAAGCAATTTTTTTCTTACTTATTAAGACGACATCAAATTTTTGATTATATAGAAAAATGTGAAAGAATGTCAGTAACAAAAGATAAGAAACCTAAAAACTTTAATCAATAGTTATTTTCTTAATAATTGTGGTGTGTCATATATTTTTATTTCAAATAATAACATTTTATCTTTAGGTGAAAGGTAAATACTACTATTTTTACCTTTCAACTAAAGATAAGGTGCACAATGAAGTTTTACATCAAGTATTGATATATTTCTATTGACTTAATACAATTGACTGAAACAGACAAACAGAATGTATTATCAGAAAAGTGATATCTAGTTCTTTCAAAGTTAATAAACTCCTCAAATTTAAGTAATAGATATTTATTATTAAAGTTATACATTCTGATCAGTAAAAGTTTAGTACAGAAAATTTTTCCCTTTTAATTTAGTAACTACAGTACATCAAGGACATATTCTAGTAAAACTGAACTTTATGTATGTTTTACAAATAAAAAAAATTTAAAGCATTTTAAAATATATTTTAATGGGCTAGACATATCATTCTGCTAAAACAAAATTTTATTTGAATATTTATTTAATAATATAATTAGTAAATAAAATATCTAATAACATATTTTTAAATATTTATAATTAATTAATTTTACAGATATGATTCCTTTTAAAATTCTGTATATATAAAATTTTTAAATGTTAACTGATTTAATTAAAATACAATATTCAAATTCATAAATAATAATAATAGCAAAAATTTTATTGAAACTAAAAAGTTGATATATGAAAAATTATATAAAAATTAAATAAATAAAAGATTCAGATACTATAATACTTTAAGAACTAATTCAGATTTCTCTTTAAGTTAACATGTTAAAATTTTCATTATTATAAATAATTTAATTGATTTGTAAACAAAGTAAATTTTATATTAAAAAATATTATCCTTATTATATGAATCCTTCATATGTTAATTATACTTACTATCTAATAAGTGTTTTATTGACTGCATTTGAAATTTTTTACTATTCAAATTTCTGTCACTAATTTGATCCAGTTCAGACTGACAAAAAATTAAGAAAGGTTTATCTATCCTTGAAATAATTATGCAAAATTAAGAAATAAATTTAGGAGAAGTAAATGACTTAAGAGTAATGTCTCAAACAATTATTTTTGAGATAAAAAAAACAAACTGTTTAATATTACTATTTAATAAGATAATTGTTGAAAATTAAAATATCTAAGTTTGTATATTATCTACTGATTTAAATATTTTATTTCTCTATCAATCTTAATATTTCAAAATTGTTTTTTTTTTTTTTTTAGAAATCACAGTTTATTATGTAATAACAAACATTATTTAAAACAATTTAAAACTTGATTTATAAAGATAAATTTTTATCTTAATATTTTGTTAATAAAATTATTTTTAAAATACTGTATTTTGATAGATGTTTTTAATTTTTTTGTTTAAACAGATGATCTTAAGTAAAAAATTTATTTCAATGTATTAACTTCAAATAAAGATTATTATTTGTATGATGAACAATACTTAAAAAATTAATTCTGCATTTTACAGTATATAAGATGGAACTTTTGTCCCCCCAAATAAAAGGCTAAAAAAAGTCATCCTGCACCTAATATGTGAAATTGCAATCTCCCATAAGCTAATGAATTCCCAAACAGCTATCAGTAAATTACAGGTAAACTCTACCTAGCCCAACTCGAATGAAAATATTATTGTTTAATTAATTAAACATATTATATATTATTTGCATTAGATAAACTGCTTTTGCTCTATTCATGTATGATAAAGTTTAATTGTAAATTACTTATTTTAAACTTCTTTTTCCTTATAAATAAAAGTATGCATTCTAATTTTACAGATTTTAAAACCAGAATACAGTAAAAAAAAAATATGGGGTTAAGTGCTAAAGGCACAGGATGGCTTAAAAATATAGTAATACTTTTTCCCTGAATAGTCTATGCTGAAATGGAGGTGTGTCTTATATGCCATAGAATACAGTATAACCTATTACGTACAAAACTATATTTGACTCTATTCATGTTTCCCAAAATGAAAGGAAATATAAGCCAGTATTAATTAAAATAAAAATATATCAAATATATCAACCTAAAAATAAGTAGCCATAAATATCTGAATATTTGTAAATGACACAGAATCTACTAAACAATATAAATGCTACTATTTATAATTACCTAGTAAGTACTGTATTAATAAAGACAATCAGAAAAAATAATAGATATTAAAATAACTATTAATTTAAAACCAAATTATTGTTGATATAACAAATTAAAATCAAAGAACTAAATAGGTGAAGTGAACCACTAGAGTCAGACAAAAGCAGGTGTCATTAAACTAAATGATTTTCCTCTCTTCATTCATGTAAAATTTATAAAGAATTTGATATTTAAAAAATAAATATGACAGGAAAAACTAAACATCACTTTCTCTTAGTTTTTCTATTGAGGAAATAACCAGAGCATAACAAACACACTAACATGAGGAAGTTCACTCAATAAGCACAAACTAGAATATTCTTTTGATACAGCTCCATTAAATAATTTATAAAATCCTGTTTATTTGTTACAAAGAATGAACTTGGCATTACATGAATCTATAAAATTGTTATTTCAACTTTTATAAATACTATTCACAACATTTACTTGTGCTAAAATTTATTATTAAATCTTATAGACATGTTACTGAATGCTAAAAAACTAAACGTAATTATTAAAAAATTGTCATTCACAAAATTCTAAAATCAATTGGCCTGAATGAGATGTTTCAGATGAATGATTTGAATATAAGATACAATCTTAAGTGGTTTCAATCAACAATTAATTGTGCCTGGGAACATCATTGTTTAGGAAAAAAACAGAATGCTATTCTTTTTTATATATAGATCTAGTTTGCTAAATTAATAGTAGTAGTTATTAATTCAATAGATTAAAAACTTAATTTTTAAAAATCTTATGAAAGATAATAGTTTTTAAGTAAAATTGGTAACAAAAGCAATATAAGCAATATATGTAACCAATGTCTGTGAAGTTCAGCAATATATTTTCATTATACTGCACAAATATAAATATAATCATAGAAACAACACATTCTATTGATACTTTGGTAATTCCATAGAACATGATTCAATAAAAATGTTTGCATCATGATGCATTTTAGGAATTTTGATGAATTTTAGGATGATGCATCATCCTAAAATTAAATCAAACTGTAAAAATTATTTTGTACTTTAGAAAAGACATAAAAATTCTATCACTTTTTCTTTAAAACATTCTGGATTAATATTTATATTAAAATGAAGTAGCATTTTATTTGCTGAGTAAAAACAAAATTTTTAATTATTCTAGACTTTTAGCTCTATATAAGTATCAACAACTCATAGCCCGAGTAGTAAATACATCACCAAACGATCGCCTAAATATCGGGCTATAATATGGCTAATTAAATGATTGGAATAAAGTAATTTGACACTAGAGGTAGACGTTAGGCGCCATCTCTTAATTAAATTAATAATTAAAATTAAATAAATAAATCAATAAATAAATTTAGAATCTTCTGGAATAAAAGAACTGGCCCGGGGCGGGACTCGAACCCGCAGCCTCCGCTTGCCGTGCGGCGCGCTTACCAGTTACGCTACCCAGACCCTCGANGCGAAGGAGTCGTCCCCAGTCAGTGATGTATTTAACCAAGTAAGGTTATATCTAAATCTAATATACTTCTGGAAGCGAAGACTAGCTCGAGGGTCTGGGTAGCGTAACTGGTAAGCGCGCCGCACGGCAAGCGGAGGCTGCGGGTTCGAGTCCCGCCCCGGGCCAGTTCTTTTATTCCAGAAGATTCTAAATTTATTTATTGATTTATTTATTTAATTGTAATTATTAATTTAATTAAGAGATGGCGCCTAACGTCTACCTCTAGACTTTTAGCTCATTAATATTTTGTATTTTAATTAAAAAGTTCTTTGAAATCATATTTTATTTCATACTAGCTGTTACCCGCGACTTCGCCCGCAGAGGTTTTGCAAGCAAACCCCATTTATATTCAGTATTTCAACAACCATAGTAATTATTACATAACACCTACCGCTGAGAATGATGAGAATTGCCGAGAATCAAACAAACTATTTTCAATTTGATCAATTTTCTGGAACGTTTACAATCCTTCTATAATCGAACCAATATGCAATAACAAATTTGAATTTAAAAATGGTTCAAACATTTTTAAAATCGAAATAGATAAAAATATTTATAACAATGTCTGAAATGTTATTCATTTAATACACTTAAGTACTTAATGAAGACTAAACGTAACAAAAAATCGCATCTAAAATAGTACAGTAGAAGCCGTTTTTCCGGTTAAGTCTT